CGAGCGGGGGAGCACGCGTCGCTTCCTTGGCCGCCCGGCGCCGCCGCCTTAGCCGCAACCGCGCGCCTTGCCTCCGCGGTCTCCAGCGGCGCCGTGGCAATGCAGGTCAAGCAGTGTGCTACAGCTCCAGGATGACGTCACATTATGGAGACGAAGAAGTAGCGCTGGGAATGCAGATATGCTTCTCTGGTGTGTTGGGTTCGATGTTTGTTTGCAAGGCAATCTATTTCAGCCTGAGATGTAGGAACGACCATGATTTTTTGACGTTTCTTTTGCAGTTTTTATTATTATGTTTAAATTATTTGAATTTGTATTTATTGTTTATTATTTATCCGTATACTTATTTATATCATACAGGGAATAAGAATCTCCATCCTGTTTTCCATCCAGTTTTCCTACGATACTAAGAGCGTGTGTTGAGGTGGTTCTCCTTTTTTCGTGGACAGTAAATACAACTTATGCCACCCTGAAATTCTTCTCTTAAATATCAATTATAAATAAAAATGAATCACCAATGGCTGAATCAGCAAGAACCAAAGGAAAAGTGGAGGGAAACAATCCGTGTTTCTTCTACTCAATATTTCTGCGATAAACCCTATTTATTTCAACTTCATAGATTGTTTAATATTATCATGACACTTCACTATTATCACACATTGGCAGAGAAGCGACTGGCACAATATCCGCGACTCGTAAATATCAAATTGTTTACTATCTACGAGTAATCTGTAAGGAAAAGTTTTGAAAAATATGTTTTTCACGAAACCATATATAAATTAATGTTGTACATCTTGCACATTTTCCTTTGCACGGAAAGAAAATAGTATATATCAACATAATAGAAATATACATTTTCTAAAATACAACTTCCGTAATAGAAATATAAATTTTTCAACCGGAAATTTTGTCACTTATCGTGGGAGTGAACTTGTTTATTTTGACAGCAATGCGACGTATAATGGGGAAAATCGTGCTCCAGACTCCAGCCACTCCGGCCACCGCTCCAGTCGCCGCCATCTTAGGCCGTCACCGTCGACGCTCGCAGAACTAAAAGGCGGCGAAGATTTGAGATTTTTGTCATGTCTGTGGTGCTTCGAAAAGAATCCTTTTTCCACCGAACCGGAGTGTTCATTTCAGTCATGAATTCCATTACGAAATTTTTACATTTTTATTTATTTCATTTGTATATTTATTCGACATTTAAAAAGAAAAAGACGTTCATTGGGGTCTCTCCCTTCTACTGCTCACGTTACGATATCCTTCTGTTATTAAAATTTTCTAAATTAAACGTATACGTTTCCTAGATATCATTGGTATTACCTTTTATTTCGATTTTACAGAATTTATTAAAAGCCAAAATGAAAAAATCTATAAACAATACAAACCCATCAGTATATCTTCTTACAAAACAAAAATGAATAACAAAAATATACTTATAAAAAACCTCCAATGAGCCCATCTCTTCAACAACAATTCCATTCTAAACGCCGTTGCAAACGTAAGATAACTTTCAAAAGAGCAAAAGCGAGGGCAACCAGCATCAAAACTGCTCAGCCCGCGAGAGTTTACTCGGAAATAAACTCATACATCTCCGCGCAGCGTGAAAAAGCGCGCAACTCCCATTTTAAACAAACCGATATAAAGGGCGCGAGGAGCGAGGAGCTTAGACGTTGCTTTCTCTGCGGGCGGCGCCATTGACGGGCTAAACCGCGACGACGAATCTCCAAGTGACAGGCGGCTTAAAGCGGCCGCGGCCTGAATGCGCATCTGGCGCGTCAAAAGCACTCGCCCGCGCGTGTGGCGGCGCGTCACGTCGCGTCGGATGCCGCGGGCGGATTACGCGCAGGCGAACCTGCACACCCGCTCGCCAGCGCCACCGTCGGCAAACGCGGTGACGTCGCGTGAAGAACAGCGCAAAAACATTTTCGCTGATTCACGCCCCGGAAGCCATGCACAGGAAACTCAGGCGTGGCCGAACTATGATGGTGAGTATACCAAATTATACTTTTCACGTTATGATTTTTTTATATGTGTGGCGCTCGGTTGCTTGAGGTTCTCGAACAATGTGCCGTCGCTGTCCCAGAAACTGACATAACGACAGCCCCTCTCAAATGACTCGAGTAGCGATTGAAAGTTCCTTTCTTAATGAAGATGTAGAAAGCGCTTCCTGATAAGTTGTAAGGATAGTCTGAGGTGGATTACCAGCGGATGAACTCACAAACTTTGTTCAAAGCGCACGAAATGTTGAAGGGTATGTGGAATATGTGTTTAATAATCATTAGATAAAATACAGTCTTCGTAGATAGGTCTAATTCAACTAGTTGGGACTTCGAAGCTTTTCCTGGCCGGGGCGTGGTAGTGGTGTTTGCTGGGGGAAAACAGCTAGCTCACGTATAGGTCGTGCCCGAATCTCCACGTTCAGGAAGTAACACCGTCAACTCGCAAGATATAACATGCTTACGGGACTTACGGCTTTGGTAGTTGACGCGCCCGTAAGCAAATATTCTCGCGATTCTGCGTCAACGGCAGTGTCAGTTGATTGACTGATACTTCCGGGTGTGAACAGTTAAGGCCACTTGTCCTGTAAGTGTAGTGCATTTTTAACGAGGGACAGGGCAGTGATATTCTGCCATGACGGCTGGATTGTGACATCTAGCGCCGACCTACACCTCGACTGGTGGGGGTCTCCCCAATCGGGTACATCCCACCAACGGACCACCGCCAAGCAGGGATAAGCTCTATGAACGCGACATGTCTCCCGATACGTGTGGTAGTGTAAGGAATGTAATTGCAAGTGTGTGACAGTAAGGGGTTTGAAGGTAGAGGAATGAAAGATCACGCGCGGTCTCTGGCCCATTGTTAGGGTCCTGCTTCGCATTTGACTGGTGTTAATCGGGGCAGCCACGGAACACGGAAAAATACTAATCAGAGTAGTCGACTGGTAGAATGTACCTCCAGACACCGGCTGAAATCGACTTAGCTTTGTAGCTAATGTAAAAAGTTCTGCAAATGCTTGGACTACACCTCTAGGACCTCCCAGTCAGAGGTACTGCAGTGCCATCAATTGATGCTCTTCGTCCCATCTCGATCAGGTTTTCGTCCAGTTTCCCCGATCCTCAAACAAATGCTGAGATGACCCCTTGTTTTGCTTCGGGACATTAATGTAACTTCAAATTAACTTCTCCCCATAGCACGACACATACAGTTTTTAACTGTTTTTGACGTAAATAAATAAATAAAAAAATAAATAAATATCAGTCGGTCTCTACCGCGAGAGAAACCCCGTCAACTCCCGAGATAGAACAGGCGAACGTCGATGGCGAACCGCGTCACTCATTACACTCTGTGGGGCGCGGTTTTGCGAGCAGTTAGTGTGCGTTTTTTTACGAGACACAACTGTGGGACATCAGCTTCAGCTTATGACGATCCGTCAGGCACTTCGCCGCCACTTACATAATTAACTGTCGCAGGCGTCTGTAGAACCACTCCCTTGTCCGCAGTTTTTATTTCCGCAGTGACCTCTCAGAGACCCCCCCCCCCCTATCGCCTCGGCCCATCCCACTATCCGCCCATCAACGGCCCTATTACGTGATAAGTATTCGCATAATAGTATCGCGTTACATTCAATTACGAATTGAATTCGAACATTCACTTAGATCGCCGAAGCGGCTTTACGTTTCATTTCCGGGGCGGCGCCGAGCGGCCGATGAAAGAGGGGAAAGGTGGAATGCGGGCAAAAGGCAAATCCGATTCGCACATCCGAGCGAAAGTCCAATTTCTGGTTGTTAAGCGAAAGGCGCTGTAGCGCTGTTACATTCAGGAAGATAATCTCCCAGATGAATACAAAGGACACTGCTAATCAAGAAAAATTTAAGCACGATGAACATCCGTTTAATTTCATCTTTTACGAGTAGTTTCTAGCTGAACATTGTGTACGGAGTGGCATCTTCGACGCTAAAGCACAACCAAAATATGGAGACATGGGGCTAAAGTGCACGTCAAGGAAATAGAGAAAACAAATATTGAAATCAATTATGTCATTTCACAGAGACCTCCCTATACTGAATTGATATGGATTGGACTCTTAACGGACCCAGAATTTTCATGCCAGTTTAAGGTGAGCCCAGACAATAAGCAACGTGTCATTCACCATCGAAGAGTAGCTCAGCATGATGAAATATTATGGCATCAGGCAATAGTCGATGCACTCACATCGTTCGTGCAACATTAAATGGTCGCGAAACATCTGTTCTCACACTTCTCCGTTCCATTCACACACACACACACATGCATATATATATATATATATATATATATATATATATATATAACATATACTACACACATACATTGCGTACTGGGAATTCTCTGTTCACGTCAGTTGTGGCAGTCGGGGGATGTGCAATATTCCTTAGATATGTAGCTGGAAACGCGGTGCGATGTCACGGTCCGAACGTACGATGTTGCGATGTCACGGCGTGACCGTAACCGCAACAACGTCACACCATGTAGTCGTAATTATACAATGTGTATGACGGACTTCACGTGTATATGAATTAAAGATGTACTGTGTAATAAGTTGCGATTATACACTTAGCTAGAGCTCTAAATTAACTCAGGTTAATTTAAATAGGATTTGGTAACCGGATCATTCGTACATACGAGTAGTCACTCACCTAAAGTTGATTAGAACAGTGAACATTAGAAAACCACACACGTTAGTGCTAATGTTGATCTGCGTAAAAATATGTAATTAAATATTAGTATCAGAAATAAATATACATGCAAAGAGGCGGTATGGAAATAATGGATACTCTCCCTTCTCTCTTAGAAAGAATCACCAGAGGTTTAGTAATAATATTTGATTATTAAACTTGTTACATTTAAGGTGATATATGAAACACAACACACGTCCAACAACTGTGCCCGTTTCCATAGAAACCTTACACATATAGACAGAGTATCTCTCCTCACTCCAGCTACGGTCAGACTCGACTGAAACAAAACGCACTGATTTTGCAACAGGCAGCTCCCAACTGATACATAACCCAGTATTGTCCTTTGCCACAGCCAGCTCTCAGCTGGACAACTGGTCGTGCCGCTTCTGCTTGCCAACATCCAGCGCCTCGCTCGGCCCGCTTACCTCAGCACAGGATCCATGCGATCCCGCATACACGGGATGCCCAGGGAGGAAACAACCGAACTTCGAAAACAAGCTCTTAAGACAATTTTAAGCATATTTTTTCTAAAAAACTTTTATGATATTTCGAATTAACATATAAATAAAAAAACAATTTACACAATTCAACTGCTTTTTTTTAAATTTCTGTGTTAATTTTTCGTTCTGGACAAATATATTCATTTCTTTTGTAAATAATAAACAATTTACGTTTTCTGGAGTGTTAATGTTTCTGAAATGCAAATGTTTTAGTAGAAAGTATTTTTCCAACCAAGTTTTCAATGTTTATTGCGGCTTAGCTATTCGAAATATCAAAGGAGTTTGTTAGACAATATATATGAAGGTGTTTCCTCCCTGAAAAATCTGTATGTAAGAGACAGACTTACGACGGTAAGTATACTACGCAGGTGAATCAGATGGAATGTGCTTAAATGACGTATATGGCATTTGATATTCTACGTTGTTTGGGGAACCATCCATATTCACCATCGACAGAACAAACTGTTTTTTTATTACTTTGCAGTCTACAACAGAAAGAGAGGTTGGAATTTCTAGAACATTGAGGGAAAAGTGAATAAACTTGCAAAGCAGAGCAATAAAACAATAGAATCCATTTGAAGCAGATTTGTTGCTCACACGAAATGTCGACATCCAGTTTTACTATTTTTTATGATAAATATATATTTATCAATGAAGTATTAAAATTAATCATTACTTTTTTCTACTGTATTCTGCTGGTTCTAAAACTTGAATGAAAATTAACATTTCAACAAAAGGAGAGACTATCAAATTATTAATAGTATTAAGTTATTCTTGAGTCGCAATTCTCTATCCAAATAAATCGTGTCAAACTCCTTCTGATGTAAGTTGGTCGTTTCACAGTCCATGTTCCATTACGCTGTAGTACAGCACGGTATTCCTTTATTAAACGGCTTTTCCCCTAGTGAGGGTCTTCACAGAGGACGAACATTAATTAGATACCGTTAATTAGTTTAAGGCCGCACCGAACATAAAGTTGCGGGTTCACAACCAAGAGTGTTCTCGATTCCTGCGCAGGAAACACTTGGAACTCTCTACTCGTTTGCGAGTACACACGCGGGCAATTACGTAAGTTAAAAGTACAGCGTGCACAGTGGCAAGAAGAATCCATGAAAGGCACGCCGTCCCGACTTCACCGTACAGAAACCCAATTTATGATTACGTTAAACGTATCAGCTTGGCAGTGGGGACGAAGAATTTTAATTTACAAGTAATACTTTTCAGCAGCGTGTCTTTTTCAAGAAAAAGTTACCAAAACTATAGTATACAGCAGAAATGAAATAGTGAGTGTTATTTAAAACATAGTACAATAACAGCTAATGGAATATTTTTTAATTAATTATCCACTGTCACCTTCGATTTATGAAGAGATATCATGGAAATTATCCAGAAATGTCTTAGGATTGGAATCTGTTCTAATAAAAAAACGTTTTCACCCATTAAACGTGTTTCAAAATCATCATCCTCATAATTTTGCAATGTCAACTAATAAACATTTTTCTAGGGTGTTAAAATTTAGACACCCTTATAAACGAAAATCGAAATTGTTGTCCCATTAAAACACCAAATTTTCTAATTTTATTGGAACCAGAATGCGAATTTATTCTAATCATAAATTTAAAATATTAGCAAATTGGGTTACATATCAAGAAACTTCTAAAGATGAGGATTCAACCGCATTGAGTGAAATAAGACGAATTACGACAGTATAATGTGTAATATTTGGTAAATCTTCTAATTGTGACACTTTTTACTACTCGGTGACCTACATTCACAGTTCTAATGAACCATCCAACCCCCAAAGCTCCTGAACACACACCCTCTCTTACCGCAGAAAGAATATGACATTACACCCTTGATCATATGCTAGGGTTCTTCGTAATAACCTCGACAAAGAAGAAGAAAAGAAGAACGACAACAAAAACAAAAAGAACAGAGAGAAGAAACAACTCCTCTTTCTCTCAGTCGACGGCAAACCGCGGTACTAGCAACATCATATGCTCCGTTCGCGTGTGCTTTCGACAGTATTTCTAATATCTTATTTGGTGTATGTATAAACAAAACTGTGATATAGTCTCTTTTTCAAGTGTATTCTGTGAGTGGCTGCTACTCGAAAGAGTGGCAACTAGTGTCAATATGGATACACTGAACATCAAGGAAAAACATAACCTCTAACGCCCAACAACAACAACATGGATCAAACTTGAAAACGTATGATGGAGCTGCGACAATGGACACAAGGACTTACAGTAAAAGATTATGTGAGTAAAATATCAACTTTTATCAATCCAAGTTTATTAGATTAATGTCGCGCATAGCGAATAATTGGAATTATGTGTTCTCAAGTACCAAGAAAATCGCAACCTAACAGATAACCATCAAACTTTCACTATTAATGACATTAATGTGAGTGTTAGACTCCTATTAAGCAAACATGAAAAAGTTATAATGTCCAATGTCTGTACAGTTATCCCACATGAGGTGATAAATAATGCTCTTCAACAATCAAATATTCAAATTTCTTCTAACATTATATTTATCAGATCAGGTCTACCTGAACCAGGTATGTCTCTTATTATGAACTTTAGGAGACAATTCTTTCCTTTCATCTGTTTACCCAAATGAAGTATATAAATTACCACAGTCAGTTCTAATTCCATATGAAGATACATCATTTTTTTCACAACTATTTTGCACAGACTAATTTTCACACCTCATAATGTCACCTGTTTCAAGTGTAAAAATAAATGCCATATTGTAAGCAAGTGTCCAATTAATAACATTAGTCTTTCACTAATTATAAATAGATAACAATAATGATAATATTTTAATAGAGATTCCCCCTCCAGAACAACCAGGTGATAATCCATCTGGCTCGATTGCTATGGATTGTATTAACTTTCCTCTTATCAACAAAAGAAGCCTCCCATCTGAATCATCCTCTACACCTGATAATATATCAAATAGTGATGTAAAATGTAAAGACAAAGGCTGAAAACCCTCAAAGGAAAAGAGAGAAAATAATGCAAATGAAGAACCTGCCTCTCAAGGCAATTTAGCTAACAATTCAATAGAAGATCTTCGGCTCCCAACCAAAATCTATATTGACTCCAACCAAGACAAACTCCCTCTCTCATATACAAAATTCAAATCATTCCTTGAAAACTCTTTTGGAGAACATTACCCCATTCCTATAATGAAAGATTATTCAACTGATTTTAATGCAATAATTGGTATGCTAAAAGAAACATATAAACTATTGAATGAATGATCTATAAAGGGCAGATTTACAAGAGTTATCAAAAAATTATAAGAAAGTATTCCAATAATGTAAGTAGTGAAAGAACAAGCGAGGAATTCTTCATTTTGTTCAAGTTGTATTAAAAACTGTCAGAGGGCACAGAAGTGGATTCAGAGATGGGTGGTCTGGACATGCATCCCAATATGTAAACACATTCTAGATAGCCATATCAAGTACCAGCAGAAGATTTGCAACAGCCAGCGGCACCTCTTAATACAGTTGCTACATCCTTATAATACACAATTCAAATTGTGAAACACTAGAACAGAGAACACCAAACCGAGTCTTCAACTGACGTTCGCAGAAATAATGATCTGACATATTCGAATATTGCAACATTAGTAGACTGATATGGCCAGAAACACTAAAAAGTTAAAACAAACGCAATGTTCAACAAATGCCGTATATGATAACGCCCAGGCAATGGAAAACCTTCTATAAGGAAAAGGCAGATGCAAAAGAGAATGAAGAAAGGGAGAAGGAAGACAGAAAGAGAAAAAGAAAAGAGAAAAGTCCCTTTCAACCCTGGAAGAAGAAACAAAAAAGGAAATTAGTTTTAACTGTAGAACATGAGACACTAAACACAATATCACTATAACTAAATTTGTAAAAAGAAGTGTTATTTGGAAATAGCACTCAAGGAATAGACAAGCGGAAACTAAAACTCGGGCTAACCTCACGCCCGGGTCAACCTTAGACTAAACCGAATCTTTGCATTTTAGCATCCTTAGTTTATACTGTCATGCTGAAATACTTTACACACGGAGGATAAAAATAACGAAAGCATATTAGTGAAACATTTATCTCACGGATCCATCCCGGTTTGAATTGCTTTATTCTGAGATGCGATCCCTGCGAGGTAACCTTGAGATTCTTTGTTATCAGCAATGCGTATTCTATCAACTCCGTTCTTCTCTGGCCTCCCTCTGCCGCGAGTGATTGGTGCATTTCCCCAATTGCCCTTTACATTGAGGCTCTGAATTTGGATATTAGGTAAGGAATCGGAACATATACCAACTGCATCTCGCGGTCAAATTTTCCTAATCCGTTTACCGCTTTCAAAAAGGCACAGCCCGAATGCGTCTCGTTCAGTTTCCTGTTTTAGTGTAAGCATAGATTTAGCGATTCACCTTGCTATGCTAAGTATTACATTAATAGATTATAATTAGTCCACTTTTGTTTTTAAGAAACATATGCACGTCCTTTTAGAGCATCGTCAGTGTTGAAAACCATACTTAAAAATTTGTGAAAACAAACTTTTAATTCTGTTATGTCTTGCTCCGCTGACTTAACATACACAATTCCGACGTTTTGTCATGTGTACCTCGATTCGAGAGTTTGTTTAGACTAGTACGGCAATCTATATTTACGCTGCTTAAGAATGGATGAACCCTTGAACATGAGTTCTCCTCTTAATTCCATTCCTGGGCAGCAACGACAGCGCTTTGTAAATGTGCCTTGCTCCCTACCTATAATCAAGCGGGATGAGTACTCAAGCTGCACCTTTCGAAAACAGCATGTACAATGATAGTGGCTTACGAATAATGTCGTCGGTTCGATGGATGCTGGTAGGAATCGCGGTGTTTAGGAGCCGGCCAAACCAGATGAACGCCGGAGCTGTACTCTAATAAACGGGTCACGGACAGCGCGCGATCTATCCTTCTTGTCTTATTCCCACCCCTTTTTTACACACACTGACACTTACATGCACTGCACTACCACACATGTCGGGAGAGCAGTCGGGAGAGTAGAGCCTTTCCCGCGTGATGCAGAGCACACTGGTACGAGATACCAGGTTAGTAAAAAGCACTAGCCGCTCTATAGGTTGTCGCCATCCAGCGGGGGAAGACAAATAACCTTAGCCGTTGTACACGTAGACTTCCGCGGCTCGAATTCATGACTTCTTGGCTGTCCGGGTGACACCCAGTGGTTGGCTGAGAGACCGACTTTACGCCTGTCATATCGCAAGCTTTGTCAGGGTAATGGCTTCTGTCCGGGTGACGCCGCGTCGTTGGCTGAGAGTCCGGCGTTTCGACTGTCATATCGCAGGATTTTTCAGGGTAGTGACACAGTAATGCTCTGTATTGGGAGCATTACTGTGCCACTACCCTGAAAAATCCTGCGATATGACAGGCGACACGTCAACCAACGCGGCGTCACCCGGACAGCCAAGAAGTCATGACCTTAGCAGTTGACGCGGTCTGGGATATCTGTGATATGCAACCCGGAAAGCTGCTAGCCAGAGGTCCTTAGCTAGCGCGTTTGCCAACGCGGAATGTCCTTGCTCACCCCTGCCCTAAACCAACGCAACCACAATCCAAAGCGCTCTACAACCAGCCCTACCTCCAGATTCCACCTCGCCCTGAACCGCATGACGTATGCCTTCAGCCCTAACGTCGCCGCGAGACACCGCCACCGCTTCTTCAGCTCTTTCCATCTTCTCTGCTGGTCCTCTGCGGCCCCCTAACTTTTATTTCCAGTGCCCCGCCACCGGACGGATCCTATCGCGCAGGCACCGTCCCCCGAGGGCACTAGTTCGAGCGCGCGGCGTTGCTGTCGCGACAAAAAATTCTAATACAATACAGACTGGCGACAACGGAGTGCGAGCTATCTGGAAACGAAACAAACCGCGCACGACGGCTGGACCAGGACCAGTAGACGCCCATTGTTTCTTGCCCGCCTGCGCAGAGGAAGGGGTCTTGTGTTTTCATCGAGGTCTTTGTTGATCTATGGATTAGGGGGATCGAAGAAGCAGACGATCTATTTA